TATAATTTATAGGATATATACTTTCTTTATAATGCCATTACATATTTCTATTAATATAAAAAGTTTCAGAGCTTTTTATTCACTTTACTTTTTTGGGATTTTATGAACTGAAAAATGACAGTTTTCGTGAGAATGACCCATATATATATAGCAATTTTTGGTATTTATTTTAATTTTTCGTTACTATTTTATTTGTCGTTAATGAATGTTTCAAAAATTCAGATTGATAAAAGTTAATTCTCGCAAATAAATGTGTGCTTATATGCTAACACCACAGAAAAAAAACATTCTTAGCTTCTTTCACATTTCTTCCATTTCAATTCAATTTTAGTGACTTTTTTGTATTAATACTTTCAGAACCCAAACAAATACTGAATTACGGCGATACATTCCTTTAAAACGAAGTCCATAAAAAGTTAATTTCAGTAATAACATGAAAAATACCTAGTGCATAACTTAATTTAAAATATTTCTAATATACTAGTATGCAACTTCTTTTGAGAGAATTGGCGAGTTTCTAGACTTCAAGAATTTTAGCATACTTCGAAGGTACTAAAATACGCCAATGCCAATCTCACTACGTGCTCTTGCGCGCCGAAGCCTATCAATTAAAATAGGGGGGGGGGGCTGTCTTGAGTAGTACAATAGTTATCTTTTGGGTCAGAGAGGATATCCCCTTTTCCGATGCAGACTGGGCAGCAGATTGCATTGACAGAAAATAATTCAGTGGTTATGTGGTCATTCTTGGGGGTGCTGCGGTGTCTTGGTCCAGTAAAAAACAATATTGCACTGTATTGTCTTCCGCAGAATCTGAATACCTGGCGATGGCCCATGCCACCAAAGAAGTATTGTGGATAAAGAGTTTACTGTTTGAGCTCGATAAAGAAATGTTTGTACCACCTCCAGTACTAATAAATGTTGATAACCAGGCAGCTATGTTCATAGCTAAAAATCAAACTACGTCTGATCAGAGTAAACACATAGATCTTAGGTATCATTTCATACGGCACAATGTAGATCAAAGAATTGTCGACTTTCAATATATTAATTCACGAGATAATGTAGCTGACCTCTTAACAAAAAACATTTCGAAGAAAGTACTCAATAGTTTGAGGACTCAGTTAGGTTTTATAGAATAACTGTGATATATGTATTATGTATATCACAGTAAGCAGTCTGACGGATGCATTGCCTTGTTTTGTTCGTTTGATTTTGGCAACTTTTTATTTTTAATTTTATAGAAAATATATCAATAGAAGTGTTCTTTTTTTTTTCGTCTAAGTTTGTCTTATGTTATAATCTTCATTAAAATATTTCTTTTTCTCAAAATGATTTGTTTATTTACAATTGTAACTTAATTTCAACAATTCGAAATGCGTGTGAACGAAAATGGATATAGTATTTAATTCCAATTTTTTCCTTTTGTGAGTATTTTTTTATTTTTTAATGAATAAACTAGTCCAAATAAATTCGTTACATGATATCGTCTATTGTCATAAATCACTTGATAAATTAGTCTTTTTTAGTAAAATTTTTAAAATTCAACAGTTGTTTTAAGAGCTTGCCACAGTTGCAATACACTTATAATAGTGGTTTTAGAAAACAAGAATAATCGCACCCCTCTGCCTTAACAGGCATATGGAAGAGGGAGTGCTTTTAGATTTACATTGTAGGAATGTTGAGGTTTAAAATTCACTTTATCGTTTAGAATTCTGAATTTAAATACATCGCCTCAAAAATTACATCTGTAACTAACCAAGCCATCCGGACCCTAAATATCGGGATATTTCCCTGTAATGATTTTTTATTTTATAACCGTCGTTAAACAGCCGACAGAACTTTTGGGTTTACGACTACTAATGTTCAAATCCGTAGCCTTGTAATTTTGAACCCTATCTAGAAGACAAGGGAACTCTTGGATCAAATAATGGGATAAATTTTACCTTCGAGGAGGACTTTTTGAGGGAACTAACCAGCATTTGACTTTCATAGAGAGGAAAACCACAAGAACCTCCCATGGTTTGCCTGGTTGCAAAGGGATTCTAACCTATGACTTCTACCACTGAGGATATTTTACGTGAGCAATGTTTTCGGTGGAAGCCGGATGCGCGCTCTGTAATGATTATGCTTATAGTGTTTAAGTAAGTAAGCACGCAATTTTCTGCTTAGTTGTTAAAGTTGGGTAGAAAAAATGCGCTTTTTTTGAGGTGCCTATTTTCGAAAACACGCAGTTAGAGCTATGTACCTTTTCGTAAACACAAATTTTGAGCATTGTCGTTATTCGTAAACATGCACTTGGAACTGTGTCCAGATAAAACTGACAATCAAAATAATATTTGAAATTAAAACTTGTTTAATTAAAATAGTATCTTTCATGCTTTTTTATGGTATTGCTTTACAACTTTTGAAAATCTTATAGTTCATCAAAATCAAAACTCTTGTTTTCTGGGTTTTCAGGTATTAGTTACTATATTATTTATTTATTTTTCAAATTTAGAATGCCGTCCATGTCAATCATCAACTGTACTGCAGGACCATGGTTTCTAACGTACGGATCATATATCGAGACCTGGAAAAAACTCTACTCTCAGTTTTTGTTGCCCAAATCTTTTCAAAAACTTTCTCTCTCCGTCGCAAAAAACATATATGTGTATAAATTATTGGTACTGTATGAGCATTATCTCCCAGCTTATGTTCTTGATCTCATATTTTCTCTTCAAAAAAGCAAAGTCAGGTATATTTTTCTTTTATTTTGAGTGCTTTTTGTTTCTTAAGATGCGGTAACTATTTAAAAGGTTCTCCAATTCCAACCAAAAAAATTTTTTTTCTAAAAATGTCTTATCCTCAATATTTTACATTACATTTAAGATGATACTCTAAAATCCAGTTGATTCAAATTTGGAAACACGCTGTAACGTATCAAGCTATATAAATAACAGTTCTGTTTCTTATAAAAAAACTTTTATTCACAAACAACACAAACAGTAATAAATATGAAGTACCAGTATAACAAGATAGTTAAAATATTATATAACAAACTAGAAAAACCCGCAACGGGTTTTATGAAAATTTTAATTCCGAAACAAAACTAATATCTAAAAAAATCAACAACTCTGTTGTTCTACAAAAAAGTCTTTTAATTTTATCGTCTGCTTTTATTTTTTTGTTTATCTCTTTATGTGTTTACTTTATCTTATTCATGCTTTTACTGGCCAGTTATTTTTTAATATTTTAACTTTTATTCATGCTTTTGATAGCCAATTATTATTTTTTTATTATTTTTAGACTTTATAACGCTTAGCTAAAATATAAAATTGGAATGTTATTTTCATTAATTCTCTGCCATTTTGCCTTTACAATTGCAAAATTTTATTTCTTCCTCAACACAGCCCATTTAGGTGGTATGACCGTTTTGCCTTTGGTTATTAAAAGGCAAAGTTATACACTAAGTATAATATATAATTATATATACGTATAATAAATAATAAGTTAAATTAAAGGTTTGCGAATAAAATAAATCATCGGAAAAAATAAAGTCTCTTTTAACTCAACTGTTGAGGCCGCTAATTTTCCAGATTAATTTTATTTCCTTCATTTGAGAATGTGAATCCACCATAGATGTCAAAATATAGAATTGTTTATATTAATAAAAAATAGGAATTAATTAAATGACATATCCGAGGAACAACATAAAATATGAAGAATGGTTATGAATTGAACCTTCTTTGTCGCAATTGAATTGTCTCATTTCTCATAACAAACGCTCACTCATAATTCAGTGGCTATGTACTACTTCATAATCCCTTTAACCCCTTCCTTCTGGCCCCCTTCAAAACAACGAGGGGAATTTTTGCTCTTTATTTCTCATACCCGTGATATTTCAGGACTGGTGTGATCAAAAGTAACGCTACAAAAAGATTAAAGCAATCTATTTCTTATGCCCGGAATCATGTTTATTTCTCAATCTATGGACCAGATGGCAGTGTCAAACAATTTTTGATGAGTTTAAAGATACGTTATTTCAAACTAGATGTCAGCACTCATTAAACATGTAAGCTAAAAATTAACTCAAAAATTAAAAATGAGCACGTATATTTCATATAAACTTGTCTTTATATAATTTTCTTGAATAAAAAATGGACACTTTTATGACCGTTTTCTTCAAGATTATGCGACTATTAGGGGGCTGGCAAACCTAGTACAATTTTATGGTTATGGGTTTCATAATATTTGAAAATGAAGTGATATATATCCAAACATTTTGAATTTTTCATGCAATGGAGCTCACAAAAATCATCAGTTACTTTATTACTTTACTTCCAGGTTGGTGAAGTTTTATAAATTACTGGACGAGCAAGCGTATGCATTTCATTTCTTCACCACCACTGTATTTGATTTTGAAATGGGTAATTTTATTACAGTAGAGGAACAATTAGATTCCAGAGATAAGGAGGTAAGATTTAGTTCTGAGAAAGGTATATTTAGATTTTGGCTGTATCTGGGAGTAATGAAGCAAATTAAAGAAAAACACGCATTTAAGAACATTCATTTATTAAAATTTAAATTAAACTTTTTATAGGAGTGTAAAACCAAGAGTCTGTCTTTCTCAGCTAAACGCATATTTGTTGTCGGAAGCTGCAGACAATAAGTTTTCACAAAAAATTTCAAAATTTGATTATATATATAATATAAATTTATAAGTGAAAAAATATTAAACTTTTTTTTATCAGTAACCAAAGATTTTGATTTTATTAAGTGATTTTGCATAACAAAATATAACTCAATAGTTTTTTTTATTTTTATATTTAAAAGTCTTGGTTGAACATCCCACCCAATTATGTTCAACTCCGTAGCCTTGTACTTTTGAACTCAATCCGGATGACAAGGGGACTCCTGGTTCAAGCATTGGAAGAAATTTGCCTTCTTGCAGAACTTTTTTAATGGAACTAATTAACATTTGCATTACATTAAGAGGAAAACCACGGAAGTCTCCCCCGATGAACCTGACGGCAAGGGACTTCTATTCGATGATCCGTCTACCACTGAGGATATTTTACGTCAGCACTGTGGTCTGTGTAAGCTGAATGTGGAATTCGTATCGACCAACCATCGCTGGAATTTGAACTCAGGACATCTCATCAAGAAGCGAGCGTTCTATCCCTTGAGCAACCTCGATTCCTGACACAATAGTTTAAAAAAATCATAGAAAATTAAAACAATCAAAATACATATCAAATTGTAGCTGTGCAATGAAAGGCCTGGTGTTTCTTGAAGGATGCCCAGAGAATATTAGGAATTTTATTATCTTCATTTACTATTATTTATCAAAATTTTTTGGACGTAATTTTTTTTTATCAATAGTGGTATTCGCATCACACAAATAATATTCATTGTAGAACATTAAGGCATACAGACACTATGCCAGAATTTTATTCATGAAAAAATTCTGATCTAATTCATAATTGCTTAAAAAAATATTTGTTAATATTTCAGATTTATATTTTTTAATTTAAATACACAGCAGATTTCTTGCGTAATTTATGCGAGAGTAGGTACAAGATATTCTGTTTCTTTTCTTTCCTACAGCTCTACAGCCCTTGGTGAGCCCTGGCTTGTTAAACAATTATATTTAATACAGCCGTTTGTTTTGACTTCTACCTCCATCTACGAATCTTCATTATTTCCAAGTTGCCAACAACGTCGCCCTTCAATCATTGACAACCTCTGGGCCTGTTTCCCATAGGCGCCCAGTTGATGTTCTTTTTCTCACCGTAATTATTGTCTCTCCTCTCTATGCGTTCAGGCCTGAAAGACGCTGGAATATGATAAAGCAAACAATGTTTTATCCCTTTATGATTTTCTCAATTTCTAGATTTGTCCTAATTCTCCATCCACCTCTATCATTAATAGGTTCAATTTTTCTCCTTTCATTCAAATAATAGCAGGGTATTATCATCTTCTTCTTTTTCTTGTCATTGTCCTGGTTTCACTTCCATATGTCACAATTAGGCTGATAATATCTATACGGATGGTAGCGGGGACGATCATCACCACGCCGGCAGTGGAATTTACACTATATATCCTGCTGAAGTTCAAGAATAAAGATCACTAAGAAACCCAGATTTCTGTTCAGTGTTTCGCAGTGAACTTATTGCTATTCAAACAGGTCTGGAAAATATCAGGACTAGAGCCACTTTTGGGAATATCTGGATCTTCACGGACTGTCGTAGCTGTATTCAGCACCTGAGAAATTGGGAGAGAGTAACGATCCGGACTGGGAGTCTCTATACTTCGTTTATTAAATGCCCTCTCAGCCTCCCATGGCATCCATATTCACCTCACACGTGGGTCTTTTTGGCAACGAACGTGCTGATCAGTTGGCAAAAGAAGGCACTTCCCACCCAGCCTCTCCAAACACGGCCCTCACTTACTTTGAATTATTTTCTATCCGCAAATCTCAAGTTAATAAAGCTTGACTTGTTCCAACGGATCACAATTGGTATCCCCGCAAGCGTCCTGGAGGAGCCCTTGACTTTCAGGGTACACGTGCCGACCAAATGATTTAAATAGATTTCTAACAATATTAGAATCTATTTCTAATAGATTCTAATATTGTTAGAAATCTACCTGTAGATTTGTCAATGGGCATACTAAGAGCCTCACTTTCAGTGGACAAATTAAGCGTTTTCCTTCCTGTAAAAAGTGCAACTCCAGCGAGGCTAGTCCTCACAATCTACTTGATTGCTTGGATTTCACCATGGAAGAGGTTCTTGAGAGACCTCTCCTTTTTCTCGATTTTTTGAAGACTCTCGGCCTCATGGATCTGGTAAAGCTCCGCTATCCCAGCTGGGATTAGAAACAACAACAGGCTGATAATAATTGGATAAAGTCGCCTTATTAAAGGTTTGTAAGCAATTTATTTTTAATATCTTCCTCCTTGAAGATATTCGGTTTGAAATGTCATTTTAGTTCAATTATCATTAGAACTATATCCTAAATTTCGTTCCAATTCCTAAGGTGAAAAGCAACAGTTCTAATAGATTCTAATATTGTTAGAAATTAATGATTTCGTGACAAAATGCTTCTCAAAAACTCTCAAGGATTGCTGTAATCGTCAAAAGTTAAAGTTTTATTTCTGAAAGTGTAGTTAATAGAAACAATAAAAACTATATTAAAATAATAAGAGTGATTCTGGCTCCATATAGATTTATTTAAACATTATGTTCCATAATGACTGTGTTATTATTTGATTTTAAAATAATTGTAAGTAAAAGAAATGAAAAAGTATGCTTGTTAGGTGTCGTAAACTATGAGGAAAATACCAAATGATCTATTTAGTCACTAATCGAGAAAGTTAAGGCTAAGACACATCAGATCCTGTTTGATGAACAAAAAAAGAAAGGGTTTCAAAAGTGATTTTAGAAACACCTACAAAACTCAAAATACAGTCAAATTGCTATATTAATTTTCATCTCGCCATTCCCTTTAATTCATTATAACGAGTTTTCTTAATTCATTACAAAATTTATTTACCACTGACCCCTGATGTATAATTATTTTTAATGTATATTTCATGTATATTCAAAGCGTTTATTCGTTTACTAGATGTTTTCTTTGAGACGAGATGATATAGACATAATCAAACTGCACGAAGAAATTCCAAATGGATGCCCATATTATGATTGGAAAGTTGCAGATACTCTGACACCGGAAGAAAGAAAGGTAAAAGTTATAAGGTATGAGTTTTATTTTTTCAAATCCTCCATTATAATGAAATTTCTAATTTCTGAAAAGAAATTATTTTCTTCCATAAATTCCTTATGCTTAATCTCTCTCTGTATATATATATATGCATACAATGAAACCTTCTGTTATTGACACTCCTGCAAAACGGATGCCTCTCAATACGGACATATTTTTGATTTCCCGGGAATCTTCTATGAATAAACCATTATGTACATTCTCCGCAAAGCGGACACTCCCGTAACCGGACGCGGACAGTCATTTTGGCCCTGAAACGCTATTTTCTATAATCGGACACTACTTTTACTAAATTTGAAAAAAGAACTATTGTTGCTTTAAATTTCAAGCTAAAAAAATTTAACTTTTCACCTTTTTTAAAGCATGTAAATTTTTTGCCTGATCCATAACTGAAAGTATTGTTAAACTATTTCACTACTGAAGAATCAATCTTTCCCCTATCACCTTGCCATATCTTTGTAAAGAAAGGAGAGAAAATGATACTGCTCTTTTGAAATAATTCGGACATCGGCATCTTTTGATCTTTTCATCTGGACCACACAGGTTATGAGACCCCTCAAGTTGAAATAACATCTTAAATGCTTTCAATGTTTCTTCCCCCATTTAAAATTTCTTTATTTTTCTTATCAATTTGAGGACTGTATTTAACACAACTGGGGTTAAAAAAAAAGAGAACAGAAGAAACTTTGAGGTGTTCATATAAATGAAACATTTATTCAGACGCTTGATAGCTGATCAATTGTGAATAATCAACTTCATAGGTCCTCATGACTTACAAGTACGCATTGCTTTTTTTCTGTGAACCATGGGAGGCTTAGTTTCAAGAAGGTATTAACCTTGTTCCCTATCAAATGACAAGTGTGTGTAAGAGGATGTAAACCTACTAATTGAAACCGACTGAGGACTGAAAGCTCCTATTCGGTATATGTCTAACTTGAGTATCTATGCTAATAGAAAAATAATATTTTATTTATCTGTAGCTACATCTAGAATTATGTATTTATATCAAACTTTTTATATTTGTATTCTTTCTAATCTTTCTTAAAGTTTAAATAAATATCCCTGTAGATAGTTATTGTAGATTATTTAATTATTTCTACATCTTTGAAAATATTCTAAAGATAAATTACTATGTTAAACTTCGTTATTAGGGTACCCTTCCCGTAAACGGACAACTCTCACAAATAGACAATTTTTTCGGTCCCAAAAATGTCCGCTTAACGGACGTTTGTATATATATATATATATA